GATGCACATCCATGTCTCCCGTATAGGGTTTCTGAGGAGCGGCTGGTGAGCTTGAACCACCAACCTTGCAGTTCAAAAGGCTTTGCAGTGTTGCGCCTCAACCCACAGCACTATGCCGGAATACCTCTCACACCAGTGAAAAACAGCCGACCAAATAGGACGTGCATCCGGGTTTCTGCAGAGCAGCTGGTTAGCTTGAACCACCGACCTTGCAGTTCAAAAGGCTTTGCAGTGGTGCCTTAACCCACAGCACTACACCAGGACGTCTCTCAAACCAGTGAAAATAAAGCTGACCAAATAGTATGCACATCCGCGTCTCCCGTATAAGATTTCCGAGGAGTGGCTGGTGAGCTTGAACCCCCGACCTTGCAGTTCAAAAGGCTTTGCAGTCGTGCCTTAACCCACAGTGCTACCCTGGGACACCTCTCAAATGAGTGAAAAAAAGCTGACCAAATAGGACACACATCTGCATCTCCCATATAGGGTTCCGAGGAGCGGCTGGTGAGCTTGAACCACCAATCTTGCAGTTCAAAAGGCTTTACAGTGGCGCCTTAACCCACAGCACTACACCAGGACCTGCCTCAACCTAATGGAAAAAGGCCAACCAAATCCATGTCTCAGCTTGGGCTGAGTGTGTGAGTTCCTGGCAGAGGAAACCGCCAGCGGTGAGGGTGGGTTGTGGCCACTCGGCTAAGCCCCTACCTCTATTCACCCGAATGTAGGTGGGCAAACAGTGAGTGCACCTATTACCCGACACCAAAGAGAAAAATAAAATTGGAACCACACAAAATCGGCAAAGTATACTGAGCACCTTTTTTTCCCCCAAGGTTCCCGCAGCGTGTTTCCGTGGTGTCTCTGCAGCCACTATTTCGTCCTGCCCCAGATGTTCTTTTAAAACATTGATTTCAAGCCTTTTTTCTTAATTATAAAACTGACAATGAGCAAGTGCATTGTCTATTTTTAATTTTGAAATTTGGTGGTTGTGTGTATTCACAGGCTACAGTTTCTTCTGTTAAAGGAATTGTAATATTTCTGAAGAACCACATGGAAGAAGACAGTGGTTCTCTGGATGCCTCAGCCTCTGATGGTGTTCGTGGGGAGCCCATTTCAGATGATAAGTATATTTACATAAAGATAGAACATTCTTCTATTTGGGACCAGGAACAAGAGATACATATTCAATTTGCCAGGTAAGAAATCTTTACTTGTTCCTTTATATACTTCGTAGATAGATGCCCAAAACCACACCCATTGTCACTGAGTCAATTCTAACATTATAAAGGAGGTTGTTGGTATCCACTGATGTTGAATCGACTCCAACTCACAGCTACCCTATTGAACAGAGTAGAACTCTGCCTTAGGTTTTCCGAAGCTATACATCTTTACAGAAGCAGACCACCTCATCTTTTCTCCTGTGGAACAGATCTCAGCCCATGCTTAGCCCACAGAGACACCAGAGCTCCTTAGATAGATGTTGTTAGCTTCCATCGAGTCTGTTCCGACTTGCAGCGATGCTGTCCTGCATCATCCTCACAATCATTGTCATTATTGAGCCCATGGTTGCAGATAGATTTGTTGTTGTTGTTGTTGTTAAGTGCCATCCAGATGTACAACCATTCTTACCTCTTCCTGAGTTGTTGCCCTTAATTAACATACTCAGTGTCCCTTGTGCTTCCGAGCTTGTTGTTCAAGTTGCTGTTGTCAGTTTGATCCCGTGTAGATAATTGTTAAAAGAGCACAGCGCTCAAGGCAGCCATTCTTTACAAGTGAAGTGAAACTATTATCAGGAGCCCTGGTGGCACAGTGGGCTACTCACTGGGCTGTTAACCGAATGGCTGGCGGTTTGTATCCAACAGTGCCTCCATGGGAGAAAGATGAGGCATTCTGCTCTTATAGATATATGAAGCCTCAGAAGCCCTCGATAGGGTCTCTAGGAGTCAGAACTGACGTGACAGCAGATAGATAGCTACTGCTGATTGTCTTCTGACTCTCAGAACTCGGTGTGCAGCAGAATAAAATGTTGCTGGCTCCGTTGTCATCCTTACAGTAGCTGGCATGATTGAGTCCATCATGGTAGCTGTTGTAAACTTTATTTACAAGGGAGCTTCAGAAAGTTCATGGCAAAAGAGAATGAAAAGATAATGGAATTTTCCCATGAACTTTTGAAGCTCCAGCATATATGCCTAAGGAGCTCTGGTGGTGTAGTGGTTATGAGTCGGGCTGCTAACCTCAAGATCAGCAGTTTGAAACGACCAGTAGTTCTGTGACAGAAAGATGAAGCTTTCTGAGCCCATAAAGATTGACAGCTGCAGAAACCCTGTACAGGGTTGTTATATGTCGGAACTGACTCTATGGCAAACAACCGTCAACCACCACCACACATGTCTGATTTATCCCAATTTAAAATTTCCCACACACCAATTAATTATTCAAGTGTTTAGAATTTTTATGTGAAATAGATCCCAAAATACAGAAATGATAGGGACCCAAGAAGCTTCCTGGATCCTTCCTAAACCTCTGTAAACACTGGTTTGTTTTCCCTTATAAGGCTTGGGGTAGACATTCCACAGCCTTTGGAGCCTGTCCAAGCTTTGAGTGAACTTCACATTGTGAAGTTGGAGAGAGAAGTCCCCTCCCCAAGGCCTGAAGACCCCTCACCACTGTCTGCCGGGTCCCCAGTGATTGTCTTCATCACATTTGATCACTCACTGCCTGCATTAGAAAGTTAATTCATCTCTGTCTTCAAACAGTAATCACCCTCTGTTCCATCAAGAACGTTACTAATATCAAAGCTCTGAGGCCATGAAAACAAGCAAGATGCATGTCATTAGACCTGCCTTCTTAGAGCCACAGAATTTTAGAACAGGCAAGGATGTGTCTGTTGCCTCGTCCTCTAGATCCTGGGATACTGGTGCTCTGGATTGAAGCGTGTGCCGGCAACACCATCTCCTTGCTTGTACTGTGCACCTGACTCAGAGTCCTCCCATCGGGGGGTGGCATCCATTCCGCCATATGCTTTTTGTTTGTCTTATCAAGATAGAAATCAACTCGCTCTCATCTCTTACTGTGGTTATTAGATGATCTCAGTTCCAGTCGTCCTGAGTGTTTCTTCCTTTTAAGCTTCTATCTCCGTCTTCTCCTTTGGGTCACCTTCCTCCTCAGTCCTGCCAAATTATGACCTGGAGCACTGCCACTGGCTCTTTGCTTTCCTCACAGTCCTGCTGTCCCAGTTCAAGGGGAACTAAAGTGAAACAAGCAAGAAAATGCCTTAAAAAAGGTGCCTGTCCTCAGAGTCCAAATTTCTCAGCTCAAGACAAGCAAAATCTAACTACATATAAACTTGGTAGACAGAACTGCTTACTAGCTTGTTCCCTTCCTCAGCTCTATCTGGAGTCTTGTTAATGTATTAATAAGCATTTACTGGGTGTGGTATTGTGGGTTAATGCACCAGAATGCAAAGCTGTTTGAACTGCAAAGTCAGTGGTTCAAGCTCACCAGCTGCTCCTCAGAAACCCTATACAGGGTCTCTATGGGTCAGAACCGACTTGATGGCATTTAACAACAACAACAACAACTGTAAAGGCAGAGAAAGTTTGGTGATCTAGAGTTTGGCTTCTAGCAGTAGCAAGATAGGCTCTGAAGACTTCAAACTTCAGCTTTGCTACTTGTCAGTTGTGTAATGGGAGCCTCAAGTTCTTCATCTACAAATGGATCTAGTACCTGCCTGAGAGGATTGTGATAAGTAACAATGAAGCAATCTTTGTGAGGTTTAGCCTAGTACCTGGCACATAGTTAATGTTCAGTTAATGTAATCTATCATAAATTTCATAGCCAAGGAACTGAGGATGCCGTGGGCGGATTCAGGACAGTGCAGCAAATGGGTGCTTGCTGTCCAGTCTGTGGACTGAAGGTCCACAGGTGTGGGGCCACTCTGCTGGGGATACAGTGTAGGCCTCTTTAAAGGAAATTTTAATAAATTATTGGAAGAAGATTTCAGGTGAGAATGCCTGATGTGACGCTATAGGTTAAACACTGGACTGTTAACTAGAAGGTTGGCCATTGAAACCCACCAGCTGCTCTTCAGAAACCCTTTGCAGGGTCACTATAATTTGGACCCGACTCAACAGCATGGGTCGTAATCTGCCAGTGGTTGCTGTAGTTAAGTGCTTTCTAGTTGGCTTCAACTCTTCATGACCTTGTATAGAGTTTCCAAGGAGTGACTGGTGGGTTTGAACCACTGACCTTGTGGTTAGCAGTGCAGTGCTGATCCTACAGTGTCACACTAGGACTCTTGTTCTGCTGGTAAGGTGACTTTATCCAGGAATGGACACTTAAGGGCTGTATGCCCCTGAGATGTTCCATAACCATTGTGTGTGTGTTTCATCAACTGTAAGATGCAGACAGTTTTGAGAAGAACTATGATTGTCTGTCTGGTAGTAAGCACTACTAGATACAGTAGTTATTAGTAGCAACAGTAATGCTATTTTTCCAAGGCCAAAAGTTCTAAATTAATGGCTACATCAATTCATTTCTTGTCATCCCCTAGGAAAGTACTATTTCAAACCCTGAAATGTAAATGTCCTGTTATATGCTTTAATGCGAAAGATTTTGTGAGAGCTGTGCTTCAGTTTTTTGGTGATGACGGCAGCTGGAAGCATGGTGAGTTACAGTTTCTGCTAAATCTAACTTTCCAACTGGAATTCCTGCTGGGGAAAGAAGGATGACAAGGGCTGCCATGTGGTGCAGCACTAGGGGCACCCTCTCATGGTGCTCTGATGGGCCCCTGAATAGCCGGGCTCCCTAAGTGGGAGGAGAACCTTTCCCTCTGTGTTTCTACACTATTTGGAAATTTACAAGCATATATTACTTTTGTAGTTTTTAAAGAAAAGAATAAATTTATGCAGCATGGTCATAATGGGATTTGTTGTAACTGCAAATGGATTACAACTTTTCTAAGAACTAAACTATTTGTTGTTGTTGCTGTTGTTGTTGTTAAGTGCCATCGAATCAATTTCAACTCATAGTGACTCTATGTAGTAAGGTTTCTGAGGAGCCACTGGTGGGTTTGACCTGCCGACCTTGTTAGCAGTCCAGTGTTTATCCTACTGTGCCACACGAGAACTAAACTATACTCACTCCAAGGTAATTAACATCAATGCTATCTAGTACATCTTTGATCTGTCATTTAGAATAACTAAGATTTGTATAACCTTTTTATAACAAGATAGACAGACAGCAGTGTGATGAAGCAAAGACAGCAAAAGCATTCACTGTCAAACCTACTTGGAGGGTATGAGTGGTGACTGTACTGCTCTGTCAACTTTCCTGTAATCAAGCATTGAAACAAATCTTTAATTCCAGAACTTCTCCAACACATGTAAAAGTACTCCTCACCTAATGCCATGTACCTTCTGACCTTTCCCCCCTTGTATTATTTTGTAGCAAATCCTAAATGTCATATAATTAATCTATAAATATTTAAGCATATAGGATTAAAATATAAGAATCTCATTTTTACTTTACTGAGTCCATGGGCCTAGAGCCTGAAGATGCTCCGTCCCTCTATGTCACTGCTTCTGCCAGCACCTCTGCGGCCCCACCATCACATTCCAAATAAATCAGCTCTCATTTCTTAACATTATCAGTTACCAGTCAGTGATTACACTTGCCCACATGTCCTATAAGCAGTTTGTTTGCTTTATTATTATTATTATTTAAATCGTTTGTTTGAATTGGGATGTGCTAAAACCATGTGGGGGGATACAATCAAGACAGCGGATCATGCGAGTAAAGTTTTGCTGAAGGTAATACAGAAATGGCTACAATCATACATTGACAGAACTTCCAGAGGTTCAAGCCAGATTCAGAAGAGGCCATGGAATGAGGGATATCATTGCTGATGTCCAATGGATCTTAGCTGAATGCAGAGGATATCAGAAAGATGTTTACCTGTGCTTTATTGAGTACGCAAAGGTTTTCGATCGTGTGCATCATGACAAGCTATGGACAGCATTGTGAAGTATGAGTATTCTGGAACACTTCATTGTGCTCATGAGGAATCTGTACATGGACCAAGAGGTGATTGTTCGAACAGAACATGGGAACACTGAATGTTTTAAAATTGGGAAAGTTGTGCGACAGGGTTGTATTCTTTCACCATACTTATTCAACCTGTATGCTGAACAAATCATCCGAGAAGCTGGGTTCTATGAAGAAAAACATGGCATCAGGATTGGAGGAAGACTCATTAACAACCTGCGATATGCAGATGATACAACCTTGCTTGCTGAAAATGAAGAGGACTTAAAACATTTACTGATGAATATCAAAGACCACAGCCTTCGGTATGGATTACATCTCAATGTCAAGAAAACAAAAATCCTCACCACTGGACAATAAACAATAAGAATAAACAATATTCTTATCAATGGAGAAAAGATTGAAGTTGTTAAGGACTTCATTCTTCTTGGATTAACTATCAACACTCATGGCAGCAGCAGTCAAGAAATCAAACTACGTACTGCATTAGGCAAATCTGCTGCACAAGCCCTTTTTAAAGTGTTGAAGAGCAAAGATGTCAGCTTGAGAACTAAGGTGTGCCTGACCCAAGCCATGGTATTTTTAATAACCTCATCTGCATGCGAAAGCTAGACAGTGAATAAGGAAGACCGTAGAAGAATTGATGCTTTTGAGTTATGGTGTTGAAGGAGAATATCAAAAGTACCATGGGCTCCCAAAAGAACCAATAGATCCATTTTGGAAGAAGTACAGCCAGAGTGCTCCTTAGAGGCCAAGAAGACCAAACTTCATCTTTCATACTTTGGACATATTGTCAGGAGGGAGCAGTCGCTGGAGAAGGATATCATGTTTGGTAAGGTGGAGGGTCAGAGAAAAAGAGGAAGACCCCCAATGAGATGGATTGGCCAAGAGGCAGCATCGATGGACTCAAGCGTGGCTACACTAGTGAGCTTGGCCCAGGATCGAGCAGTGTTTCGTTGTGCTGTGCATAAGGTTGCTATGGGTCAGTGCCGACTTGATGGCATCTAACAACAAGAACAAAACCATGTGGAGACCATGTCTGACTTCTCTGGGCCTCACAAGTGGAGAAAGAGAATCAAGTTCAAAATCAACCCAAGACCTAGTCCTTTGAAGTGGAGTTCAGACATGTTTCTGCTCTACAACTTTCATTCGCCACTTCTGACACCAACCGTCTCTCCCACAGCCCTCCCTGCTTCACATCTGGGTTCAACAATCCATTGCAGTGGCCACACAGAACTCATAACCTACTCACAGTTATGGAGTTTATCAGGGACGTGAACAGGGTACAATTCTGGATCAGAAAAGCTCAGTTAGGAACTCCTCTTGTCTGCCATATTGTGGGCATGCTTCACTCTTGTCTTTTTCCTCTCAGTCATGTGGTTGCTTGGCCTCTGCCCTGCTTGGGCAAATGTTGCAAAGCTCTTTTCATCGGTCTGTGAATGCCCAAAGGGTACAGTATTAAATCCAGTCTCCTGCCCATAGACATTCAGCTTTACTCAGTCCATGGGTCTAAAGCCCAAAGCTGCTTTGTCTTTCCATGCCACCACCGCTGCTGTCACCTCTGCCATCATTGTTTCTCTAGGTAGGGATCTCATGCTTCATTCATTCTCTTGCTTCTTAGTGATCCTCAGATCATCTGTCATTGCTTCTGAGATGGCTCCTTTTAAACCTAGCTGGAGGGAAAAACTAACCAATCCCAGCCTTAGAGTCCTATATACCTTATTTGCATGGTCCCACCCAATCACTTGGTGGCAATTAAGAAGACTTTGGACAGAAAAGTCATATCAAGTATAAGTTAATGTATTTCTTAAGTCTTTTTTAATCTCTGTGTGTATGTTTTGCAATTATTTTGGTATTGAAGAAACCATGTTGTTTGTCCTGTAGGTTTCCCACAGACTGAAATTTGATGATTATATTCCTTTGTTGTCATTGAACAACAAAGGTCCTGGGTGGTGGTTCAAACTCCCCCAGTGGCAGTAGAGGAAAGGGCTGGTGAGCTGCTTCCACAAAGACAACAGCTAAGGAAGCCCTATGGAGCGAAGGGATGGCCATGAGTAGGAATCAACTTGATAGCAGTTGTTTAAATTTTGGTTTGAGTTCTTGCTCTTCTGTTGCTCATAAATTGGCAGTTAGATATAGTAGTTGGATCAAATCCAGGTTAGATTTTGGGAGAGGGGCAAAACTATACTGTAGGTGGAATAGTGTACTTCTATCAGGAGGTCCACCACTCGTCTGTCAGTTGTTGCCACCTCCAAGTAGAATTGACTGTGATGATGTGAATGGAATAGAGCTTTTGGGACCTTCATTTGCTGATGGGGCACAGAGCAAAATGAGGAGAAACTGCTGTAAATATCCATTAACAATCGGAACACGTAGTGATTTCCCCAGTTCCAAAATGCGTAATTGGAATAGACATGCTCAACAACTGGCAGAACCCCCACATTGGATCCCTAAAATGTCAAGGAAGGGCTATCATGATGAGCATTCACATGAGACACAAATATCTTCACTTTGGTCCATTCAGTGAAGTCTATCCACATACCTCTTCCCCACATCTCCTTGTCAAGTCTTTGCTCACCAAAGGGTTACTTTGGCAGAGGAGGATTTTGACAATCAAGTGGATAAGGTGGAGGGTCAGAGAAAAAGAGGAAGACCCCCAATGAGATGGATCAGCCAGGTGACATCATTGATGGCGTCAAGTGTGGCGGCGGTAGTGAGGTTGGCCCAGGATCGGACATTGTTTTGTTCTGCTCTGCATGGGGTCGTATGAGTTGGTTCCGACTCGATGGCACCTGACAACGACAACAGCAATGTTGCTATGATGACACCTGACAACAACAACATACTTTACTAAGCATGATACTGCCATTCGTGCTTCTAAGTAGTATTGTCACTGTACTTCTCCCAAGACACATTAGTTTGTTCTTCTGACAGGCTATGGAACAGCCACTATTCTTCACAGAATTTATTTGTTAGTTCCCATTTTTTAACATTTTTGAGAGCTCCAAATTCCAAATTAGTTTTCTGGATGCTTGGAATGTGCTTCTTTACCTTGTCTCCATGTCAAGATCCAACATGTGGACCTGGATTTATAAAGGTTTACTTCTTAAAGAATGATGTAGCATCACTTTGGTACTTAGTGCCACTAATTTGAGGGGATGGCAATACTTCTTTTATTAATTTTAACCTTGAAAACTTTGTAAAAATAGGAAATGAGTACAGTTGTTCATTTTTCTTACGGTCATTAAAACCTTTCCTCTTTAGTTGCTGATTTTGTAGGGTTGGATCCCAGGATTGCTGCATGGCTTATAGATCCCAGGGATGCTGTGCCTTCCTTTGAAGATTTAGTGGTGAAATACTTGGAAAAACCCATCACAGTGAGAGTAAACAGCACATACGGAAATTCATCAAGAAATATTGTGGTGAGTTGCTTTAAGGGAAAGTTGTACCAATCTTAATACAACCCTGATTTTTTTCCAGAAACTTCTCTTTCTCAGATTGTCTACAAGTAAAAAGAATATTGCTGTTATTCCTGTTTGTATCTTTGGAACAAATACCTTTTTTGCTTTGGTGCCTTTGTGGAGGAGATTTAATGAGGAATTTCCCCCCCTGTTCCTTTGTCAAACCTGTTTCTGGGAAATTCTGGTTACCACCATGATTCTTCTAAATAGGCGCCGGTATCAGAGAAAGAACTGCTTCATGAGCAGAGTGCTGCTCCTTCAGAAATCCTGAGTGCCCTGCATGTGTTTCTCTACAAGTGTCCCCCTACCCTTGATATAGCCACTTGTTAGGAACCATAATTTGGAGAAGAAGGGTGCTCACAGCTCCTAGAACTGTGCCTGGAGCCCGAGTGAGGTGGATTTGACCTGAGCCACATTGATGCATTTGAATTAAGATGTTAGAGAAGAATATTGAAAGTACCACGGGCTGCCAGACTTGCAAACAAATCTGCCTTGGTAGAGGTACAGCCAGAATGTTCCTTAGGATGCTGAGATTTTGTCCCACATGCTTTGGACATGTTATTAGGAAGGGCCAGTCTCTGGAGAAAGACATTATTCTTGGAAAGTGGAGGGTCAGGGAAAAAGAGGAAGACCCCCAACAAAATGGAATGACACTGGCAGCAGCAATGAGCTCAAGCATAACAACAATTATGAGGTTGGCACCGACTTGATGGCGCCCGACAGCAATAACTTAGGCCTTGGTGGGAGAGGTGTTCCCATGGGCACAGCATAAGCTGTAAGCGAGCCTGCTAGTTTCAGGGCTCGAAGTTGTGAATGAACAGCTGTGCACTGAAGGCAGTTCTGGGGAAACATGCAGAGGAGGGCTGTAGGCGCGGGAGGTACCGGAGCAAAGATGGTAGAGCTGAAGGCCCACTCTGCATACTGGTTCTTCGTTCTCACAGCACCCTGTGGGGCCAACAGTTAGTTCAGTTGTGGACTTTGGGTTGTAAAGCAGAGAAACTCCCTCTGCCTTAATTAAAAATGTAGCAGAAGGTGATGGAGTAGCTCACAGCACCAGAGGAAAGCAGAGCCAGCCTTGGGAAGACCAGGAGCCGGGCAATGCTGAGGACTCAGGCGCAGGAGTTGAGAGGCATGCTGCCAACATTGAGCATGACGCTTTTATCTGTGGGTCATTTCTGTGGAATAGTCACATTTTCGGTACTGACCCGTGTCTCACTTCCTTCACTGTATTACATGTGCAGCCCATTCGCTGGTGTTAGCAGTCAGCGTTCCCCTAGAGAAGCAGGACCACTAGGATGGATGGGTGCATTGTAAAGAAGTGGCTCAGTCAGTTGTGGGGGCTGCCTAGGGCAGCCCAGCAGGCTGGAGACTCTCAGGCAGGAGCTTTTGCTCCACAGGGAAACCTCAGTTCTTCTGTTCTCAAGACCTTCAATGGATAGGATGAAGTCCACTCGGATTATCAAGGGTTATCTTTACACTAAGCCATCTGGCTCTAATAGTTAATCATATTCTAAAGACCAAAGAAGAATTGATGCATCTGAGTTATAGTGTTGGAGAAGAATATTAGAGGTACCGTGGATTTCCAGGAGAACAAACAAGTCTGTGTTGGAAGAATTACAGCCAGAATGCTCCTTTGAAGCTAAGATTTCATTTCTCACATTTTGGACATGTTCTCAGGAGGGACAAGTCCCTGGAGAAGGACATCATGCTTGGTAAAGTGGAAGGTCAGTGAAAAAGAGGGAGACCCTCAATGAGATGGATTGGCACAGTGGCATCAGCAACCGGCTGAAGCATAGCAGTAATTGTGAGGATGGCACAGGCCTGGGCAGAGTACTGAGGGGCGGTGTCTCATTCCATTTGTTCTGGTCATCAGTTGGACACATACTCTATTTTTCAGTCACCCAGGGCCCCTGAGTTTGTGGATGAGGGTGGAATGGGTAACTGTGGACTTGGGAGGAAGGTAGGCCTCCTGACTCCTTGCCTGACTGTGGGGGTAGCAGACAGTGGGGCCAGGGCCTCGTCCTCCTGTGTCTATGACCTTGCACATTGAACCTCCTTGTGGTTCAATTTCTTAGTCTGTTATATGAGGGGAAGCATTGAGTTGGGGAGAAAATGTCAGGCTACTGATAGATTGCACTTCCTTCATATCAAATATATTCGCAGTTCTGCAAAGAGCCCTGTGGTGCAGTGGGTTAAGCACTGGGCTTCTAACTTACAAGAGGGTGGATCAAACCCACGTGCTGCTCTGTGGGGAAAAGATGAAGTCTGATTCTGTAAATATTGACAGTCTAGAAACCCTATGGAACAGTTATACTCTGTCCTCCAGGGTCACTTGAGTTGGACTCGACTCTGTGGCAGTGGAATTTTGGTTTGGGTCAAGCTGTAGAGCGAGTAGACTTCAGGCTAATGGTGTTGGTGCCATTGGAGAACTAGCATGTGGCCAGGGGAGGCTGTGGAAGTCAGGTAGTGAGCATGCTGGTGAGGGTACCTCTCCCTAGGTGCTGCCCAGCCGGCCTGATTATGCTTTTGCTCTTTTAAAGAATCAGAACGTATGTGTCAACCTGAGGATACTCTACAGACTTACGATGGACCTTTGCTCTAAACTGAAGGCAAGCTATGTTTGTTACTCTTGTTGGTTAACAGAACCCTGGCTGTCTGTCTGTATTAGCTGTCTTCTCATTCCCATTCATACCCACAGGCAGCACTACTGCAGTGCCTTTGACTAGGAAGGAAAACAGAACACCAGACTTCACTCATAGAAGGACCATCCAGAATGACAAAACCTCATGTTTTAAAAATGGTCTCCATAGATTGAATGTCACACTGTAATGTATAAATTTAGCACTTTCCCAAATGCGACCTCTGCTTTAACTGCAATAGTCCTCAAAGTTGAGCACTTATTTTAGTTCATAGTAAAGTGGACACAGCTCAACTCACTCAGCGTCTCATGGGGAACCAGATGACCTTTCAAAAGAACCGTGGAAGGGAGTTGCATGAAGGGGTCGTTTATAGGGGCAGGGCATAGTTAAGGGACACCGCATAGGATGGAGACAATTCCAGAGACTGGCACAGCTGAACTTTTCACCCCCCTGGGCTGGAAGGCAGAAACTCTGGTGGTGCTGTAGGTTAAACCTGGACTGTTACTCCAAGGTCGGCAGTCCAAACCCACCAGCTATCTGTGCCCATAAAGATTTGGGTTTGGTTTGGGATTTGGGACTGTAAGTGGGAGCTGTTACCAGAAACCTGGGAAAATGACAGCACACCATAGGGACAGAGGGTGCCAGGAGTCAGGCACCAGAAGCTAGAATGTGGAGGCGCAGGGAGAGAGAAACCCCACCTTCTCTCCCCTCTTCCACCCAGTCTCCTTCCCATGCCTCCAAGTGGACCAAACCCACCAGAAAGCATCAAGAGCCCAGGCCAGGTGGTCTGGAGGGGTCACAGCCACCCTGCCCCAATCAAGGCAGAGAAAGGATGTGGAAGAGTCAGTAGAGCACTCAGAGCTAACAGCTCAGCTGAGAGCAGACCAGCTTGTGAAGGGAGGAGGGCGGGGACCCTGTCAGAGCCGGTGTGGGATTCTCAGATAGCAGCCAGAGAAAGAAAAGAGGAAAACCCTTAATAAAGAACATGGAAAGGATCTAAGTAGATGGAGAGACTGTTCATGTGCTTAGATAAGATGATGATGGATCCCTGGTGGCACAGTGGGTTAAGCATTGCCCTGCTAATGAAAAGGTCAAAGGTTTGAACTCCATGGGAGAAAGGTGGGGCTGTTTGCTTCAGTAAATATTTATAGCCTCAGAAAGCTATGGAGCAGTAGAACTGTCTGATAGGGTCTCTATGGCTTAGAACTGACTATGGGGGCTTGTGTACTTGGGTAACATGAACTAGTATAAAAATCCAGCTCTCTACACATTATCTATCAAGTCAGTGAGAAGCCAAAGAAAATTCTAGTGAAAATTTTGGGTGATTCAGTAAACCCATTCAGAAATTAAAATAGAAAGACAGAAAGTCCACAAATGCCTTGTTGTTAAGTGCCATCAAGTTGGTTCTGACCCATAGTGACCCTGTATAGGGTTTCTGAGGAGCAACTGGTGAGCTTGAACCACCAACCTTGCAGTTCAAACGGCTTTGCAGTCTGGCACATTAACCCACAGTGCCACACCAGGACTCCACAAATGCCTAAATTCATGTAAAAATGAGGCCAAGTAGAGAGACGTGAAATGGGGTTTGCCCCACCTGATGTTTCTAAAGTTGTAATAAACAAAAGGAGCCTGGAAGGAAATCAGAATTTTGTGAGGAAGGAGGAAGGGGCAAGGAGTGCAAGTTGGACAGGGAACTAGTTGTGTCCCCTGCAGGAATTGCCTTAATGTCCATCCCATGGAGTTAAGTAGGCTTTTCAGCAAAACGCAGATAGAAACAAGAATTTCAAGTAATGTTGGTTTTTATTACTTCTATGAAACAGGTTTATGGATTATGGCAGCTATTTTGTATGCTGGAGCTTCCTTTGATACCGATTTTGGCAGGTAAGGTAACTATAAAGAAGAAATATAGTCATTTTTTTTTCTAGAGAATTCTTTAAATTGTATGAAAATGATTGTTTCTCTTTGAAATGGCAGTGAAACCTGTGAGAGACAACCTGCTGGGACTACTTGGCTTTCCCAGAACGTCCGATTTCCACCTTTGACAGGGTGCAGTCTTACCACTTTTTGAATCTCTCATTTTAGTGGGAAATGTTTGTGGGTCCTTTTCTGACAGATTTCTGCCTTATGCAGCTTCCGGCTTTTGCAGATTTCACTGTATGAGTGAACTTCAGAAAGTTCATTGAAAAGTGAAATAAAAAGATAATGGATTTTGTTCACAAACTTTTTGATGCCCCCTCGTGTTTAGGGAGTCTGTCTTTTCCCTTTCTGTCACATGAAGGTTTGGACTGCCTCCTCTCCTGAGGTCTAGACATTCCTGCCACACAGGACCCCTTCAGTGCTGTGTGTTCTGGATAAGCACAAACCCCTCCTGAACTCTCAAACCCTGAGAAGCAGCAGAACCAGGAGAAGAGACCTCTCTGCGTGGTTTACATGTGAACAAAGCATCTCTCATCCCTAGTGTTCTTCAGTTTTACCTCTTCCCTGCCTACAGGGATGGAGTTCTGGAAACTTCCCTAGAAGTATATTATACGGCCCAGTTCTGTGGTGTCCCTCCTCTGATCCAGGTCTTGCTGTGACCACAAGACAGCAGAGGTCTATCCAGGGCTTCTACAACTGTGCTGGATGGTGGGAGACATTGCATTCAGTGTGTGTGCCCCCACCTACCCACTCCCTGGCAGGGGCTCAAATTTTAGCCCTGTCAGTGCTCTGCAGTGTGAGTGAGTTTTTTACCTGAGTACCTGTGTTCTCACTGTACAACGGGAACAACCCTACACGGTCCTTCTCTAGAGGCTGCCACATGGGAGCAGCTAAGGAGGCCGTCACTGCTGTCTTCACTGGGACAGTGAAATCTCGTTCTTATACTTCAGCCTACTCAGATGTGATTTCTTAAGGTTATTCAAATATTGGTTTTTGAATTCCAGTGATGGAAAGCCAGAGCATTCAGATAAACAAGGAAGAAATGGAGCGAACTTCAGCTCTGCTTGGGGTAAATTATCTCCTGTTACTGGACTTACTTTCTTCTGTATGGTGAGCTGTTCCCAGCGTCAGATCTAGAGGAAATCCCTACTTCTTCCCCTCCTCATTTTCCATGGGCTGACGCTGATGCTGTCCTCCTTATATTTGGTTCCTACAAGGGAGCATCAAGTAATTAAAAGTTTAAATTTTTTATATGGTTGCTTTCATATATTATTTCATTTATAACTTCTGGCTTTTGTGTCGTGCTTTAAAAAGCTTTCCCCATTTCAAAATTATGCAAATATTAATTCTTGTTTATATCTATGTCTTAGTTATCTTTTGTCGTTGTTAAGTGCCATGAAGTTGGTTCCGACTCATAGTGACCCTGTATAGGGTGGCTGAAGCTTTTAAAACCTTTGCAGGAGCAGAAAGCCTCATCTTTCTCTCATGGAGCAGCTGGTGGACTTGATCTGCCGACCTTATGGTTCCAAGTTCTGTGTTTATCTTATGGAGCCACGGCACTCCTATCGGTTATTGTTGTTAAGTGCTGTAGATACAGTTCCGACTCATAGTGACCCTTATAGGGTTTCCTAGGAATGTCTGATGACTTTGAACGGTTGGCCTTTTAGTTTAAACAGGCCTTGTGACCTAGTGCTTATCCTACAGCACTAGTACAAGTGGAGTGCTTTACCAAATAGGAATTTATTCTCTTGCAGTTTAGGAGGCTAGATGTTGAAATTCAAAATACCACCTCTAGGGGAAGGCTCTGTCTCTCTGTTGGCACTTTTTCTTGTCTCCTTTTGACATCTGCGGATCCATTGTTCCTTGGTGATCTCCAGGTAGCTTGGCATCAGTCTTCCCCTGAGCCTGGGAGGTTCTCAGCACAGGCACTCTGGGTCCAAAAGACCCTCTCTGTTCCTGATTCTTCTTTCTTGGTGGTACCAAGGTTCCTCTTCTCTGCATATTTCTCTCTCCTTGTATCTCTTCTAAGATCCAAGGGGATGTAGGCCTCACCCAGGGAAGCTCCCCTTAAAATGAAGAAATCTCAGCATTGTCTGTTGGACGTGTGTATGTGTGTGGCAGAGAGGTGGTCTTTTTACTTCACAGGCTGTCTCTGTCTCTAAAGGAGCCATAGCTACACGCAGACCCAGTGCTGTGATTGGAACCTTTGCATGTCAGAAGAATGTGAATCCCTGGGTCAGAGGGCAGAGCTGTTGGTTGTGATAGTGATGACCCTCACATATCCTTGTGTCCTTGTCCTATCTACCCTCTTCCACCTTCACTCTGGCCTCTGTGTAACTTGATTGGTCAATTTGGTATCAGCTGTGGTTGTAAGCAGAGGCTCGAAAAGCATGCGCTTTTCCAATGGGACCTGCCCTCCTTGAACACTGCCACCGTGTTAAGAAGCCCCAGGTGGCTCGCTGAGGACACTTGGTTTTCTGAGAGCCAGAACCAAGCCCAGACCTGAGTGAGGCAGTGGAGGTCCTCCTCACTGCTCAGTCCCCCATAACTGCAGCTACTGGAGTAGCCAGCTGAGCCTACACTGTTAGCCCACAGGAGTGTGAGCCTAGTAAACCCTGCTCGTTGGGAGTGGCTTGTTATGCAGTGATGGTAAGTGCTGCAGGCAAGACCCCAGCTCAGCTCTCTGAGCTATGGGGCCTGGCACCCAGTGGGACTCGGCTGTATTCTGCTCCCTGCTTTGGACTGCTCTTCCATCCGTGATCTTCAGAGACGGTTATTTGGTTTTATTTTTTGAGTCTGTCTCTGTTTGTTCATCGTTGTTGTCAAGTGCTGTCGAGTCGATTCCGACCCATAGCGACCCTGTTCATTAGGCCTGCTCTGTTTCTACCTTCCTTTCTACCAAAACGTAATGGGAGATCAGTTCAGCAAGTCCTCCTGTTCTGCTCAGCACTGTATGTATCAGCTGTGGTTAGGAACACTCATAGCAGGTGCTTGGTGTTGTCACCAGGGCCACCCACACCTTCCTGTCCTTTGACCCAGGCTGTGTCTCAATTTGGGTTTGGTGCAGGTTTCCCAAACTTCATCCACGTCTTTCCCCCTGAGAACAGATGTCATTGCGGCGAAAGGAAGGTGCTACTGCGTCCTCCCTGTAGTCACCAGTCAGCTTGGTCCCAACTCTCCTGTCTTGGGACAATCTTTGCAAGAGTTGAAGTCTAGGGGGTGATGTTGGGTCCCCTTTTCTAGTTGTAGTCTTGCTGGGAATTCATCCCTTTCCCCTCTCCATGTGGAGTATTTTTACTATTTTTACTTTGGTTCAGGTGAAGATGATTCTCTGAGCCTGATTATCCCCATTTTGTGTTTTTAATTTTGAATGTCCATTTTGGTCAATTATAAATTATTTTCATTTTGTGAAGGTCTTTTGTTGTGTTGGGATTGATTTCATGAACCAACGGAATCATCCTGAGATTGCTTAATTGATAAGGTTGTGCTTATCACTTTCACAGTCCCGTCTCAAGGAGCTGGAACAAGAAGCCCATTTTGTTGCAGGAGAACGGTTTCTTATAACAAGTAACAATCAGCTCCGAGAGGTGAGGTGAACATTTGTCTCTTTTCTAGAATATATTTCTTCTTCAGGGATTAGTGGGAATGTCTACTTTTGTAAATAAAATTTCATGTAGATTATATGACAAGCTCCTGTTCTCTATAGCAAGGAATGAACACACTGTGGTTCATTATCTCAAAGCTTCTAAATCCCAAACAACACTAAGTCAGAACTGGAGCATCGTGTAATGTCTGCTAAGGTGTGTTGTCTACTGACTGGCTGTTTTCTCTCTGTGGTCTCAATGTGCCTTCGGGGTCTCTCCAACCGGAACTCTTGCACTGTCTGCAAATTGCTTCACTGAAGATTCTCTTTGACAAATTAAAGCTGCACCAACAGAAGACTCTGCCTAAAACAGCGCTGCAGAAACAGCCGTCCACCTCTGAGGCCGTGGTAAGGCGGGAAGCACGTTCTTTTTCATCCTTGAAGTTATAGCATGCCTGCAACCGCACATGACCTGATCTGCAGGAGCAACCCCGCCACAGACCTTAGGAGCTGGTACTTTCCCCCTAAGGCCCAACCAAGGGTGGTCGCCACACTGTGACCAAGGAGACCGAGGCAGACAGGAGAGCTCTCCAGAAGTGTGCACTGGGCATGATTTACTTCAAAGGATAATTGGGTGGAATTCGGTTCTAAAAATCAGTTTCTTGCCTAGCCAAGTCACTCCCTCTCAGTTTCATGCCCCAGCATGTTGATTGGAGATGGAAAAAGTTGTCAGTCTTCACCTTTCTCCATATTTACTTTGGAAAAGTTTAGCATACCTTTTCTTGAGAGAAATGCATTTTCAAAAAGACAGGGAGCTGTGAAATTCTACCCAAATAGGATCTTGTTGTTAGGTGTCATCGAGTTGGTACTGACTCACAGCAACCTTATGCACAACAGGACGAAACACTGCTCAGCCCTGGGATGGTGGAGTATAAAGAACGTTCCGAAGCCCCTAATTCCTACCACTGTGAGAACGTAGTCAGGAAATAAGCTGGTGTCACTGTGGCGCCAGCTCCCAGTTCCAAGTGTTGGCTCTCAGTGCCCCAGCAGCTTTGGACTTTGCAGGGAGAGGGCTGTTTTCTTGAAGACTCCCTCTCTGTCCTGACCACCATAGTTTTCCTCTCAGTGGCAGCACTTTTGCTGCCGGCTTTGAGGACATAGTCCTCACGGAGCTCCCCTCACTGACTGCCCCGAACACTGGGCTCTCCACTAGCCCTCAGACAGCACTGATGGAGTGAACAAAGCACTCCTGTGGACAAATGACTCCACCAAAGGGGGCCCGAAGCCACTCCCTTCCAGAGCCTGCTCTTCAAGGGCCCTGCATCTCAGCTAACAGCCCATCAGCCTCCCACATCCTAGGACACAGCACGGGGTGGAGCTTAGTCAACCATGCCCACTGTGTGTCCTCTCTCTGCCTCAGGTGTCCTGAACCATAAAAGAAGGACAATAGGTGGGGGCTTCAAAAAGTTCATGGGAACATGGAATTAAAAGATAATGGAATTCCTCCGTGAACGTTTGGAGTCCTTATATCATACTTCACTTATTGGAATCTTGTGAGGATTGACTGAGTGTGTGTGTGTGTGTAATGTGTATAAACAGTACTTAGGCTAAGACCTGACACATAAGCCCTCAGAAAGCAATGATGTGGTGGTGAAGCAGTTAAAGTGCTTAGCTACTAACATAAAGGTTGTTGGTTCGAATCCAACAGTTACTGCACAGAAGAAAGACATGGCAATCTGGTTCCATGAAAATTGCAGCCTTGGAAAGCCTGGGAGGTGGTTCTACTCAGCCCTGTAGGGTGGCTATCGACTCAACATCAGTAGATTTGGCTCTTGGCTTTAAATGGCTAGGTGGGAGCCTTGGTGGTGCCGTGGTTAAACACTTGACCAAAAGGCTAACCGAAAGGCGAGCTGTTTAAATTCACCAGTGGCTCTATGGGAGAAAGCTGAGGCAGTCTGCAGCTGCAAAGATGGCAGACGTGGAAGCCCTATGGGGCCATTTTTCTCTACTCTCCAGGATCATTAAGGGCCAAGATCAAGTCAACAGTAGTAGGTCTATTGTCATGAACAACCCCATCCAGGACCTAGTAGCCACTTTGATTTTCTTTCACTCTCACTACACAGCAGGTCCTGTCATTTCCACTCACAAAATATGTCATAACTGACGTCTTCACTTGCTTAGGTTACTCTCCAAACCTCCTAACTGTCTCCCTGTTTCTGGTCTTCTTCATATGTAGGTAGGATAATCTTTGAAAAACATTCCTCGAATCCTGTTCTTTCCCGACTAAAGCTTCTGTGACTTCCCATTGCACTTAGAATAAAGTCCAAACCCTGGAGCCTGTCCGACCATGCAGTGGGCCTGGCTCCACGCCTCTGCTGGCCTCACATCCCTCCTGTCTCTCTTTCACTCCTGCACCCAGCATGCTGGCCTTCTCACCTCAAACAGGGCACACTTGTGCTGTCAAGAGCCTTTGCACAAGTGAACTCCTTGGTGTGGAAGATTCTTGCCCCAGATTTTTTTTTTTTAATGTTTTATTGTGAATTATGTGATAGTTTACATGAGAGAACATTAATTTTACATTAATTCTATTGTATATCATTTCATTGCCATGGTTACAATCCCCTCCACATATCATCAACCAACCAAAGGGTATATACCCTGCAAGCCTGTCTCCCTGGTTGTCAGCACACAGCCCCTCTTCCTCTCTGGATCTAAAATCCCCAGCTGCTCCATCTCTCCACATCATCATCTCTG